AAATGGGCCTTCATTCTGCTAATGTAGACACTTTATAACACTCACCTGGCAGATCTCTCAAAGGGCCAATGCACTAGTTTGGAATCATGTTGAGAAGAAAACAGATACAGAACAGAAATCCAAGCAAGTTTATAAGTGTCTTGCATGTGGCTGATGGCATTCTTTCACCCGCGGGGAGAATTCAGAGTAAAGAGTTCCATGGTCTACTTGCTTCTTTTCATAGGGTTGTCAGTGGCATACTGGAAATCCTGCTGTTTGTCTCTCAAGGTATCAGGGAAGATAGACTGATCACTGGCCTGTTTGTGTTATTGTCCACATGGACACATCATTCTAGAAAGAAAGCCAAGAAATGTCGTTAATTGCTGGTTACTCTAGTGTCCCTGGCATGACTGGGACTCTGATAATAAGACAAGGAGGAGGATTGATTTTCAATGTCTGCCAAACACACTGTTAGTAATAACTGTATCTGCCCTTAAGAGTCATAAATCCCCTTTAAGAATGGAAAGAAAGGAATTTTGCATATGGATGTTTTCCCATTATATTTACTGCATCCAGAGTTCTACTTGCCTAGTGTGCTCTTGTTCTCTCCATGATGGCTATCAGGGCCACTATGCATAAAGTCTCTTGGTAACTGTGGAGTAAGTGCTCCCGAACCCTAAAAATAAGTTTTGTGGCTGGGGAAGGGGTAATAGGAGGATAGAGTGCGAGACAGCTACTTCAGGTCACTTTTGCATGTAACTGCCCTAAAAGTATCCACTTCATTAGCTCAGATGTCTTCCCTGTCATGAGATCTTCCTTGATCTCACCCCAATTGGAGTTAATCAACATCTTCCTTCAATTCCCACAGTATTTTTCATGATAGCCTTCAGAGTTATAATTCACATACTATAGAAGTTACAGTTAAATTGTGACATTCAGTCTAGTTTTAGTATAATCAGAGTTGTGCAAAATCACAGGGCCAAATTTTAAATATTTTCTGCATCTCAAAAAATCTTCATTGTCTCACATTTATGTCATCCGTTAATATACTTTTTGTATGGAGTGTCCTATTTGGACATTTCCTATGAATAAATGATCCAGTATCCCCTCACAGTCTCCTACTCATACCTTCATTGCTCCTTCCTCTCCAGACTGAGTTCCTAGTTTGACAGATCCATTCTGTTTTTAGGATTGCAAACATTATACAGTCTCCCGTTCATCTGTGCTTGTTTATAGAAAGAAAAGGGACATGAAGATGGTAAGCTACTGGGCAGTTATTTTTAAGAGATACATTTTCTTAGTTTAACTGAATCCATTGCATCATTGCCTTTAGAACAATGGGTGCATTGACTGGACAGACATATTTGGGTTATGGAGGCGTCTTTAGTCTGCTCACTCTTTCTTTCACCTTCCTCCATCCCTAAGAGTCAATGGGAAATGTATGTGGCAGAAGAGAAAACACTTGATTACAGCTAATGCCCCTCAGCATTTACAAGTGAAAGGAATGAGGCCCATGGCATTAGTAAAGGGATTGAAATGGATTTAGGAACTGAGGCTGAAACAGGAGCCTAATTAGAAGATTCCAGGGTCATCATGTCAGTCTTCACCTGTCCATCATTAGACAGGCTGTGCACAGCTCTCACTTCAAAGATTCCGCCCGTTTGTCTCATCTGTATTTCTTGCCCCTCCACTCTAGAGGGAAACGTTGCCTTGGCTGTGCCTTGTAGCTTGATGTACCTCCAGCTGGATACCGATTGTGGGTAAAGGTTCAGAGAAAGGCTACTAAAAATATAGTACATGTGTTTAATTAGTTTCTTTAAAGGGATGAGGAAAAAATCGTGTTGGGCAGAAATTTTGTGCTAGGGTTCTCTCTCTCTCTCTCTCTCTATGTGTGTGTGTGTGTGTGTGTGTGTGTGTGTGTGCGCGTGAAGAGACTATTTAGGTGTCATTCCTCAGGAGCCATCCTCCTTGTCTTTTGAGGCAGGGTCTTTATTGGCCTGAAGCCCACTGATCCAGCTAGCCTTATAGGCCAGCAAGCCCCAGGGATCTGCCTTTTCCTGTCTCCCCATTGCCAGGGTTACAAGTGAGTGCCACCACATTCTCCTCTTCTTCCAACTTCATTTCATTATCATTGGTTGTTGTCTTTGTTGCATCATTGTTGTCTTCCTCTTCTAACTTGGATCCTGTAGGTTGAACTCAGATCCTCATACTTACAAACACTTTGCTCACTGAGCTATTCTACCAGCTCCATGTTATCTTAGTTTTAACTGCCCCTTTAAAAATAAGAAGGAAGGATGTAGATAAATAATAAAAAGACTTCCTGTTCCTATGAGTGAGACCTTATGATTCTTTTCTCCCTATGCTTGGGACCCAAGTCATTGAATACTTGCTAACCTGGATGATCTCCCCTTTGGCAGGGCATGCATGGCTAATTACCATCTTTAACCTATTTGGTTTTCCATGCGGGGCTAGTCCTGTACACTCAGCACGTAGAGTAGTGACATCTAAAACTGTCTGGGGAAACTGAGGGCAGGTTAGGATCTAATTTATTTGCTCACCCAGAGTCAGCTGCTATCACTGCCTCACAAGCTGGCACACTTAGTGTCTCTGTAGGCTGTGGCATCCTGGGTCACAGAGTGTTTTGTAGCAGCCCACTGCTACCCTTTGCCCCTGACGATCTGTGGGCATGTGTGCAGAGCTATTACTGGATTTGGAGAGTCAGGGATGGTGGGAAAGAACACAGAGTAGAGATGGAACTTGGATGATAAGAGTCAAATGCTGTGTGAGGCTTCTACGCATGGAATGGGGTCTTGTGTTCTTTGTGGTCTCTAGACCACTGTTTTCATCACTTGGCTCATTATTTCAGGAGGCAATACTCAAAGGTGATTTCGTTAGACTGAGTCTTAATTAAGACCAGCCACCCCCACCCACACACTCTGAATTAGCTTTCAGATGAATTTGTTTTGATGCCAGTAACCCATCCACATTTTGTTTCAGACTTTGGTGTAATGTTAGCTCAAGAAATTTCTTTAAGTAATCCAGATTTTAAAATTGCCATCACAGGATCCCTTTTTTCTTTATTTGTGACAAAGAATCCCAGTTTCACCTTAAAGGTAAATAGCATCTAATTTCTAAAATGTCTCAAGATATTAAAAACATGATTTTAAATAGCTTTAGTACCCTGAAGGAGGAAAAATCGCTATGCAACCATGTGCTTCAAACCTAAATGCCACCAGTCCATGAGGCAGGTGTGACAAAGCCTTCTCAAGGTGGCATGCTCATGATGGGCACCACAGCTCTGGGGAAGTCAGATTCCTTTGGACATGCTACTCTGTGACACAGCCTGTGCAATATAGAGCTTACTCAGCACTGTCACCCCACCTCCCATTGCATTTAACTGGATCTTGTGTGTTTGAGTACGGCAAGTTGTTGGCTTCAAGTATGTCCATGCCTAAATTTAAACAGATAACCTGAGAGAGCTATGTGACCTTTCAAATGAACACCATCTGAAGTCATACAGGTGCATAGAGATGGAAGGAGATTGAATTCCGGGGTCAGCACACATTGACTTAATGCGATGGTATAAGTGTAGGGCTGGTGTATTCATAAGCTAGGGTGGTTTCTGCTAATTACAGTTAAAGGTGTAATATGCCGAGTCAAACATTGCAAGATTACCAAGTGCTTCCTTGGAATTTCATGTCAGGAAACTGTATTGTAGGCAGGCTCTCATACTCAACAGGCCTGGCACCCCAGCCACTGAGTTGCTATCATGTTAAAACTTATGCTGGTGGTAGCAAGTCCTTCTGTGGTCCTCTGTCTACAGGTTTGAACTTTTCCTTGCTAATTCTCAGAGTGAGGGGCTGACACTTCAGCTTGGTTCAAGGTCTCTCTCTGTCTGTCCTGTTGCCCCGGATCCCTCAACAAACAATAGTCATTCCCATTGGATTTTGTTTTGATCACAGGAGTTTGCTTTCTCTTCATCTCAAATAAGTTTCCCTATGTCTCTTCATGCCTAAGGCCAAGACTTTCTGAGTGACCATCATTGTGAATCTTATATATTCATAATGGCCATCTATTACAGATTCATAATTATATACATATATATGTATATATACATGTATTAGCTACATTATACCAATAATGGTGACTAAAGTATATAAAAGAGTATTTAATGACATGATCCTCATTATTTTGGGTGAAAAACACTTTAAAAATTACTATGGTTCTATTTTTTATGAAGAAAACATACATAATACAAAAAAATTACTAGTGTGTGCAACTGGAGGTAAGGCTTACTTATATACTGGTATTTTATGAGCTTGGGCACTTAATGTGTTTCACTTTATTAATAAGCACAGACTAATAAAAACACATCTAAGTCAGGGCACTTTACTCCAGCCTTAAGTAAAATGTTGGAACTACAAGCTCTTTCAATTAAGCTTTCACAGTAACTTACATATCCAGGTATTTTAGAAGACATGTAATGTATGTGTGAGGCATTGAGGTCCAGCCTGATGTATTTTGGGCTCTGTTGTATATTAACACCCATGCATTTTCAAACAAAGGTGGCCATTGTTCCTGGTGAATATATCCTCTACAGGAAATGACCTCTTGGTCTATGCTGTCACTGTGGAGTCCTCATATCTTGCTTTGTGGTTTGTTTCACCATATTCACTCTTCTCAGCAAAAAGAGGATGTGTTTGGGACCCACTGAAACCGTTTTAAAGTGTGGATTAGACAATTCTCCCTGACACTGCTTCCTTAATTTAGTGTGAAGTGGAATTAAACAGTAGAAATGGAGGGATTTACTTGGAAATATCAAAATAAGAGGGGAATTGTTTGGTTATACAGCAGACTCTAAAGGGGGCTGAGGAGAGGATTGAAGACAATTATGAGGCATGCATGTTGTTTTTAAGTGATATGTGAGCCCAGGGAGTGTAACAGCTGTGTTGTTGTTGTTTTTTTTTTTTTTTTTCTCGTGCCAACTTTCTTGGTTTGATTGATTTTTTTCTCTCTGACAGCTCACTGTGCTGATAAATGTGTCCATGGTCGCTGCATTGCTCCAAACACCTGTCAGTGTGAGCCTGGCTGGGGTGGGACCAACTGCTCCAGTGGTAAGTTCCCATCTGCTATTGTCTGTCTCTGGCCCCTTGTCTGTGGGTTACTCTAAGCCAAAGTTCCTGTCTCCATCCCAAGCGGAGGGCAGTGTGGACTGCAGTTCTAACTCATTCATACAGTTCTTTCCAATTCTATGCATGTATTACAGAGAGCACTGCTGTTAAGTAAGTAGGGAGGAAAGTTCATGGAATGGAGAGTTGGGAAATCCAATACCCACACCTCTGCCACTATCAGAGTAGGAGGTGGAGTTTAGTATCTTCACTGAAGGAAGGCCATTGTGGTAACACAGCTATGGTGTTCTAACTTCTGTTTTTAATTTGACTTAAGCAAGATACTTTCTTGTGTCACATGTTGAATTTAATTCAGAAATAGAATGGTGTGATGTTTACATGTCTTTTTGCCTCTGAACTCAGAGATGAAAATGATGAGTACGTTCTCAGATAACTTCAGGGAGATAAATCTGCAATAAAAATTCATGAACATTTTGATGCTTATTTAACAAAACTGCAACACACCGTATGACTGTTTTCATTATGAGAGAGTTACAATTCTAAAATGAGATTTTCTAGATTCTAGGAAGGCTTCCTTCAAGGTCCCTATTTTCAGGATCATGAAGTTGGAATGATGACTGTCATAGAACACAGTTAGTTCGTGCTAAAATTTCAGTGTTCTGAAACTTGTTAGGAATGCAAAATTGTGCCTTTTTCTTTATGACTTTAAAAGTATGTGAGGAAATGGAAATACAATGCTATATTTCAACAAATAAATCATTAAGCTCATGTGTTCCAAAACTGAGCCAGTTCCTAGAGTCTCCAATGCTACCAATTGCATTTTTGGGGACTAGTCTGAGAGAATTTTAAATCGCCCAGATAAGCTGGCTTCTAAGACTTCTACTTGCTTTCTTTGGAATTTGGAAGATTCTTTCTTAATTTGCTAAGAACACCTTTAGACTTAGGATTTCTTGACTGCCTCTGAAGCTGCATCTCCTAGGGGAAGCCTTTGGGCACAGAATATTCAGTTAAGAGCCTGCTTATTGTGACTGTGAGGTGTGTGTGTGTACAAGAGTGTAAGAATATATGAATGTGTGTGTGTGTGTGTGTGTGTGTATGAGGGTATGAGGGCATATGTGAATGTGTGTGTGTGTGTGTTTATGAGGGTGTGTGTGTGTGTGAGTGTGAGGGCATATATGAATAGGTGTACCTCTGTTCCTGTTAGTCACCTCTATTCTAGTGGGTAACTGTGTTTCAGAGTTTTGTTTCCCTTTTGTTGGAGTGCAGGGAGTGGGGGTGGGCATTTTGTTCACATGCTATTGAGGTGGAATGTTTGGGATGTGCAATTTGGCTTGTGTCCATTTTCCTGGCTGACTGACCACAAATACGACACGGCTTTCATTAACTTTTCTAACTTTAAAATCAGTTGTACCCAGACATTTGAAGACAAATATTGTCAAGTAGGAAAGGGGAAATGGATTATTCTTTATTTGAAAATGGGTTTCTTACTCATTTTGGGGCAAGAAGCTGTAGAATGATTTCAGCTGTATTATTCTTACTTTGTGTCCTAAAAATTGGAGACTACTTCAAGTTCAGGGCTCAGACTAGAGGACATTTGTGAATGAAACAAAAGCCCACAAGGACTTTAGACATTTCAAAGCTGATTTGGGCCTTTGAGAAAGTAAGTGGTTACTCTCTGTATTAGAGTCTTCTGACTTGTATGAAGACTCCAATATTCTGAGATCATATGTTCCAACAACAATGCAATATGATAATTAAGCAACTTTTAGTTTATTCTCTACAATTCATGTTTGGGCTTTGTAACAAATAAAAAAGTATAAATAAACGTGAACAGATTTCTCAAGTCTCCAAAGATGTTCCAACGATGACACTCCTGATGCTTTTTAAACCCACACCATAAAGAGGCAAGACCATATAGTGCTCTGCCAGAAAGCCTCAGTTTGGGTCCTAGAACCCATCTTACAACTACCAGTAACTACAGCTCCAGAGGATGTGATGTCTTCTTGTGGCCTTTATGGACACTTGCACTCGAATGCACAAACCCCAGACATGCATGCATCCACACATGCATACTGACATGGGAAGAGCATGCCAACTCTGAAGCCTATGTATATGTGTGATAAAACAGCAGGACATACACCTGGGGCCCAGACAGCCTCAGAAGCCTCTGTTCTTAACCCCTTAAATACCTGGTGAGTTCAGCAGGACTGAGAAACCAACATTAGCACACTGGTATCAAGCAAGTCCCAGATGTCCCCTTGTCAGTCTCCTCGTTTCCCAGGTGTCTTAGGAAAAATAAAACAGATAGCAGTGTGTGCTAGTGATGGGTTTTTGTCCACTTTCTGCTCTAGATTCTCTTGGCGCTACACTGCACTTTGTTGTCGCATCTCCCCACCCTCTTTTGTCTGGATTTCTTGGTCGTTCCTTGTTTGTGTAGAGGAGGACAGTGAGAATCCCATAGGAGATCTATGTCCCTGGTGTTTTGTCCACTCAAAGCTGTGCATTGAGCAGTGTCTTACCACTGTTCCGTTACAAAAGGGAAGTAGTCGGCTGCTGGCTGTTATCAGTCAGTGTTCTGCAGGCTCTCGAAACGAGGGAAGCTGCCCATGCTTATTGTTGCTGCAGCCCCCATGATTCTGAAGGAGCTGCAGGTGCTAGAGAAGTCACTGAGGGAGACAGCTGAACTAACACCCTAAGGCCAAAACCTTCTTCCCTTCTTCAGTGTCTCCCCAGTGCCCTCTACTGAAAATGCTTAATATTCACCAGAGGAAAAGGAGTTATAAGACTCACACATGTTTTTGTGGATTAGGCAGTGAGGGATACATTTTAAATGAGGAGACGATGCATTGCTCTTATTCAGTTACTGTATTTACTGCTCTGCACACTTGAATTCCTCTATGGCAACACGATGGTTCTGTCCTTCCTCCTAATTTGACAGAGCCCCCATTTCACAAACAAGGTCAGGGGAGTGTTATATCCATTGCTACTTCCTCTGTGCCTTTCCAAAGTTAGTCACGGCTCTGCCGAGTGTCCCCTACATACTACAGTTAACTTGCAACACTTTGTACCTAAAATAATAGATAGCTTGGAAATGGACATGTGGACAGGGATACATCAAACAGAAAAATATCGAAAGCTGCTACACGACTTTTCTCAGCAATTGGCCACATAGCCCCAGCGGTGGTCTCCTCTCTTGTTCTTCGTTTCCATCTCTCTCAACCACAACCTCAACTGCTCGGGGTTCGTTACTTGGAGAAATGGCTCAAGGCATCATTGTTGACAGGGTTGTGCTCCCTTTTGTCCTCCACTCCCCGTCTGGTTGCTGTCATTTTCTATTACTTTTTACCACTAGGCGTGGGTGCTTGAGACATGCTCTACCCATTCCAAGGAAACTACCTGCAGACTCTATGTCTGCCAGCAATCCAGTTTCCCCTTTTGATAGTTTGGATCAGGTGACAATAAATTAATAGCTATCACACAGAGCTATCTTTTTTTCTTCCACAAAGACATAAAAAACTAAGAGATTGACATATTCCGATGCGAGGTTTTCAGATCTCTGCTTGAGATTTGATAGCTGGTTGCCATGTCAGCAGAAGGCAGGCTTCACCTCTGAGACGCAGTCAGTGTGCCTAGTTCCCAATACAGGCAAGTCAGACGACTGTACAAAGTTGGTTTCCTCTGAATGAAATCATGATTTATTTGACTAGATTCTGACATACCACTTCCTTTAAAACTTGATTAAAATGATTTTTTTTTGAAAAAGCCCACACATATTTTTCTTTTATTGGCATCCGAATGTGAACCCCTTGCCTAGATGACTGAGTGAAACGAATCCATTTTACCTGCCTACACCTTCCCTCTCCTCTTTCCTTCCCCCATCAATCTCTCTGTCCTAGGATCAATCCCCTGTTTCTCTGCCCATCCCACTGGGTGGTAACTTCTGGAGGGTGGGGGTCCAGGTGTTATTAATATGTTAATCTCCATTATACTTGGCATGTGGCTGAAATTGTGAGACGGAATGAATTGTGTGATTCTGAGAAGGTCACTCATGGGTTCATTTTAATGACTTTTTCTGAATGGTTACAGTGAGCAGAGCATTGTACTGGATACTGGGGATAAAGGAAAATGATTCTGTTTGATTACTAATCTCACAGACATAGCTTGGGAGAAGAGTAAAATAATAAGCCAAGGAAAGATGATTGGGGTTGGGTAAAGTAGGAAGATTCTCAAAGGACAAGGGCAGGAAGGATTAAAAGCTTTGCCAGGAACAGAGAACCGATTGCCATAGAACATGAGAGGGTGACTGGTTATAAACTACTCTTCCAGAAACTTCCCTGAGAAGTCATAGAGAAGACACAGAGGAATGTAGAAGTAATTTTAAGTTCAGGACGAGGCTTTGTTGACTTTCTCAGGGACTTGGAGGCTGGGGACTCAGTTGAGAAAGGAAATCAAGTAGTTGGGGGAAGATAACTCTAGATGGCAGTTAGGACTGGGACAGGATCCTCTCTCTCTCTCTCTCTCTCTCTCTCTGTGTGTGTGTGTGTGTGTGTGTGTGTGTGTGTGTGTGTGTGTGTGTGTGTGTGTGTGTGTGTGTGTGTGTGCACGTACACCGTGACTACATATACCAGCAGAGGGCACTGACTCTTCTATAGCTGGAGTTACAGGTAGCTGTGCGCCACCTGTCATGGGTGCTGAGAACTGAATTTAAGACCTTGACATAGTCCTGCTCTTAATTGCCCAGCTCTCTCCCCATGCTCTAAATGAATATGCTTAATGCAGTTTCCGAAGCATTTCTTTGTGTTGTCAACCTTTTAGCTTTACTATTAGGAATGACCATACATTCATTTGTTTTCCAAACTTATGGAATCCTCTTTATAAGTTTTAAACAACTATTGAGAAATTTATTTCTCCGTTGGCCACAAGGTACAAACGAAAGTCCCAGATGAGCCAGCAGCCAGCAAATAGATACAAAAGCTTGCCCCTCA